ACATCTTTACGTTACTTTTAGGACACCTTTTATATAGTTTTTGTCTGTGGAAATCAAGAAAGTCAGTATATTCAGTATAATCATATTAGGTACTCATTTTATATGGTGGAGTTCTATGACGGAACAGTATGTTCAATTAGAAATCTGTTCATAACATGGTTTTTGATTAATTGATTAAATATTGCGTTCCACTTTCAATCTGATTGATCGTTGACTTCTTAGGATTGGTTTTAGGAAAAACGTTATTTGTTTATTTGGCGAGTTAAATTACATAGCTCAGAAAGTTCGTAGCAATTCTTAATTTGTTGTGGGGAAATACTGTAACGAACTACAAATATTATATTTAATGAGAAACTACATCGTTAGGGATAGCATGTTGTTTATTTTTCCGAAAACTACACAGTATCAGTCCAATATGCACGTACTTGTTATTGCTTTTGTAATAAATATATTCCCAGAATTAGTCACCCCTCAAGCAAATATTGTTTCACGATACATCCACCAAGGGTTTAGTAACACAAATATTTTGGTTCTAAACTGTCCCTGACTTTCTGAAACATTGTACAGGATTACGAAAATTTACCTGGACTTATTGCTTGTTCCTACACTATATCACTTGTTTAAAATGACATAAAAAATGTTTGATGCTCAACAAATAAATAACACCGCAATTCTTAGAATATCCGATTATCTTTGGCATGTTCGAAGAATAACCGTAATTGATTTAGTTTATCCTTTTCGAAATTATATCATGACAACTTATAAAGAAAATCGCTCATTTGTATGTTAAAATTACTTGCACTACGACATTCTAAGAAACAATTAATATGTGGATTTATTTACAAAACAGTTCCTTGAAAAGTCATTAAAGAAGCAGAAAATATATTCCAGAAAGCGATTTACGTTTATTTAAAAGTTTGTGGAAGTTGTTGTTCCAGAAATAACAGTATTTTTGGTAAATTTATTAAGAATTTCGTACGTTCGTATTATTACAAAACGTTGGGGAAACTGCAATGAAAAATTTTAGAGGAACTGTGTATTTATACTTTCTAAGAACATATGGAAGATGCAACTTTAGAAATATGCGAAGAATTTGATGAAATATGATTGTACTTAAAAATATTAGTGAAACAGTTAATAACAGTTGTACAGGGTGGGCAAATAAGCGAGGTAAGCGGCTGTATCTCAGAAACTAGTGATCGTAGAGAGCTACGGTAAAAAATTTTATAGGTAAAGTGGGCAAGGGAAAATGCTGGAAATTATTTTCAAGTTTCCAAGATGGCCGCCAGTGGGCGTTTCCACCATATTGAATTACATAAAGTTACGTTTCTCACGATTTTCCCCAATGAATGTAACAAAAAAGTATTTGCGTTTTAATGTTAACTTAAAGTCGAACATTTTTTGTAAAAACAATTTTTCTCTATCTTTCGAAATAAAGTGGTGGGGGGTATTTGAATGTTGTTTGAAATAAATGCCTGTAACTTCGAAACGGCTTAATGGATTTGGATAAATTTGGTATCATTGAAAAGAGCATTTCTTGGGCTTTTAGGTTTCTCGTAATCATGACAGTTGCGACCTACACGGCCGCCGATAGAGGGCGTTATTCGATATTATAACCAAAATATTGGATTTTCTCAAAAAATTTAAATGCGATGATATGACTTTTTTTAGACTAGAAAATAGACAAATGACCAACCAATAAGCCTGCGCAAACCGCATCTTAATATCTTTTTCCTAACTCAAATTATTTAAAAAAATACTAAACCAGGAAAATTCATATATCCCCATTTAAAAATGCATCGGTTGCTTTCGATAAGAAGGCAAGTAGTAGGCCATGGACACGACAATCGCCTAACAAAAATATTGCCAAGTAACGTCAAACTTTTGTCACACGCAGCCTAATATTGTTGATTGCGTATAATTTGAGTACTTTTTAATCAAAATGCCTCTCACAAATAATGAAGCCGTTGACATGATTGCGATTTATTTCGAGTGTTTTCAAAATGCAGCTATAGCTGCAAGACAGTACGCGGCACGGTATCCAGATCGCCGTCATTACGGGAGAAGAATGTTTCCGCGCTTGGTACAGCGATTACGCGATACTGGAAGTTTTCGTCGTCCTAAACGTCGCAGGCGTCGCAATGGAAGGACCGAAGAAAACATTATCAATGTCTTGGCTTACATAGAATTTGATAGACATGTAGGAACTAGAACATTGTCTCTAGACTTGGGAATAGCACGAACAACTGTTAGAAATATTTTGAAAGATTATAGGTAAATAATTTTATCTTATTCCAAGTATCTTAGCACATACTCTCAAATACACAATTCAGTGTTATTCTGATTATATTATTTTTACGCATATGTTGTTTTTTACTTTTAGATTACATCCTTACCACATAGTTTTGCACCAGGCGCTAAATGAACAAGATTTCGATAATAGATTAAATTATTGTCAATGGATGCTAGGCATGCTTGAGGAAAACAGAAATTTCTTAACGGAAATTCTCTGGACCGACGAGGCTACCTTTAGTAGTGATGGTAGAGTAAACCGTCATAATATGCATTATTGGTCCGCTGAAAATCCGCATTGGTTAAGAGAAGTGCAGCACCAGGGACGCTGGAGCCTAAATGTGTGGTGCGGTATCATTGGGGACAGAATTATTGGACCTTATTTTTTTGATCAAGCTTTAACTGGTAACCGCTTCTTAGAGTTTTTGATCAACGACTTGCCAATTTTGTTGGAAGATGTGCCACTCGAAACTAGGAGAACTATGTTTCTGCAATTAGATGGTTGTCCGGCACATTATTCAATTAATGTCCGAAACCATATTAACGGGACCTTTCGAGAACGCTGGATAGGAAGGGGAAGCCTATTTCCTTGGCCGGCAAGATCTCCGGACTTGACATGTCTTGATTTTTACTTGTGGGGACGCTTAAAAGACATTGTTTTTCAAACTCCACCAACAACACGAATGGATATGGAAAACAGAATTCGAAACTCAATTCGTCAACTATCAGCGGTAGAAATCGAGGCTGCGGTTCTGTCGACTCAAGAAAGACTGGAACAATGTGTGGAATATGACGGAAGGCAATTTGAACACAGAAGGCATTAATCTTTTTTCAAAATCGGTCCTTTTCAGGACCACAACTTTATTTAAAAGGAAAATCGCTTATAAATACGAAAACGTGCGACTTAAAATCACAGCACTAAATAAACTGACATTTCTTGTGAATATTTTAGAGAGGAGTTTGTCTTTTATTTCCATGGCCTACTACTTGCCTTCTTATCGAAAGCAACCGATGCATTTTTAAATGGGGATATATGAATTTTCCTGGTTTAGTATTTTTTTTAATAATTTGAGTTAGGAAAAAGATATTAAGATGCGGTTTGCGCAGGCTTATTGGTTGGTCATTTGTCTATTTTCTAGTCTAAAAAAAGTCATATCATCGCATTTAAATTTTTTGAGAAAATCCAATATTTTGGTTATAATATCGAATAACGCCCTCTATCGGCGGCCGTGTAGGTCGCAACTGTCATGATTACGAGAAACCTAAAAGCCCAAGAAATGCTCTTTTCAATGATACCAAATTTATCCAAATCCATTAAGCCGTTTCGAAGTTACAGGCATTTATTTCAAACAACATTCAAATACCCCCCACCACTTTATTTCGAAAGATAGAGAAAAATTGTTTTTACAAAAAATGTTCGACTTTAAGTTAACATTAAAACGCAAATACTTTTTTGTTACATTCATTGGGGAAAATCGTGAGAAACGTAACTTTATGTAATTCAATATGGTGGAAACGCCCACTGGCGGCCATCTTGGAAACTTGAAAATAATTTCCAGCATTTTCCCTTGCCCACTTTACCTATAAAATTTTTTACCGTAGCTCTCTACGATCACTAGTTTCTGAGATACAGCCGCTTACCTCGCTTATTTGCCCACCCTGTACATTATTGTAAAAAGTAGTGGAACTCACAACAACAATTTCAAACAACATTTTAAATGCTCGAAGCAGAAAAACAGTAAATAAAAATATACACATTTATGTAAATAAATGTGTTTTAATACATCTAAAAGAATTATTGTATTTTGTAAATATTTAAAACAAATAGTAAGTGCAAAAAACAACACATATGTAGCACAAGAAAGGGATAAGTAATTTGTAACTTCTTCCAATATTATACGAGTCCAAAACATAGGATAGCTGTGAGTTTAGTGTTCAATTAATATTATTCTATATCTGCACCAGACGAAAACGGTTAAAAATACGATATATGCACACGTATTTTTTTTTTCAAAACTATTTTTTCACCATGGTTTTAATTGGATATAGAAAAATACGAAGTAACAATAAAAGATGTTAGAAAAGACTTTATTATAACCTTTAATGCAATTTTACTTTGCTAGTAAACTTCTAAATAAGAAGACAATTTAACCTATCGCACTCTAAAAAGATAGTAATTAATAAAAGATGTCTAACTTTAGTAATTACCAGAGTAATTTGTAGAACGAATTGGACTGTTTTCTGTTTCTGTTCGTGTCTTACTAACCTAATTTTTAATGTTATTGGCACATAAATTTGGGACTAAACAGAATCTTCAACTGTAACTTTCATTATTATTTTTTTGGGACAGTTTTAGAAATTTTCCTATCACGCGTCTATATTTTTTATAAAAGGTGGATTATTCACTAGGTTTTTATAGTAAATATGTTATTACGCAATCTATTTTTAGTATGAAAACACAAATATACACTTTACAGTCAAGTGTTAAGCCAATAAATACCATCGCATATTCCGGCCTGAATCGAAGGCCTCCGAGCTACGTCTCGTTATTGAATACTACGAATCGGCACATGCGCCATGATTGTTTACAACTGTTGTGCTCGGCCGCATCGGAACGGACCTACCGAGTGCGACGACATTGTGAGTTACTTGCGCGCTAGAGGAAGACAGAAGTACAAGTGAATATCGTCGGACAGACATCAACGGCCGCAGACGTCTACAACACATGACCACATGAGCGACCTCAGCATAGCAAGATGGATGAAATCGCGCCGAATAGTACGTACGTAGTGAGCTCTGAATAGTACTTGCGACGAGTTTGTTCAAAGTCGGCGCGCTTCGTGTGCACTTGTTTACGTCCGTGTGTTCTGTACAGTGTACCTACTAAGGATAATTACCGTTGTTTGAGAACAGAAGCGTTGTGCAACAGCGGTGTGGCGGCAGCGGGCAGCGTTGTTTGGGGATGCCGCACTTCACCGTCTGGCTATTCGCGGACGTTCCTTTTCCAAACGACACCTTTCGTTGACCTGGAATGCGAGCGCGTTGTTTGGGTATTGCGCATGAAGAACGGGGTGCCCTTGGCGTAGTAGTGCATATTGCATAGTGTGATTGTTGTGAGAGTGCCTGTTACATGTGACAAACGATGTCCGTCAAAAGCTTTGACCCCAGCCAAGGGGGTGAGGTGGTGCGATGTGGATTGTTGAAAAAGTTCAAAACCTCCCGCAAGAAGTGGTTCGTGCTGAGGGCCGAGACGCCCGAGTCCTCGGCCAGGCTCGAATACTACGATTCAGAAAAGAAGTTCAACAACGGCCTGCCGCCAAAACGCAGCATCCCGCTCAGGACGTGCTTCAACATCAACAGGCGCAACGACACCAAATACAAGCATGTCATTGCCCTGTATACCAAGGATGACTGTTTCTGCGTCGTGCTGGAGTCCGAGGAAGACCTGGATGTCTGGCTCAAGGACCTCCTCTCCCTGCAGCACGGAGAGGAGGCCGTGGACGGCGAGACCCCCAGACCTACCTTCGGTGAGTACCACATTATCTAAAAAAAAAAAATTCGCCAAAGCATCAAAAACGATATTTATTGCAATGCAACGAATTGCATGTTTTATTTTTCTGCGTGCAGGGAATCATGAGAAAATTCGCGATGCAGTTGTTGATCCGGGTGGCAAAGAAAATGCGCGGGAAATGTATCGATTTGGGAAAAATAAGACGCAGTAGCGTTGGTTGCCATGATGCTCGTTGCACGTTTCGATGTTTATGTTCCCTGCTGTTATGTTTAGAGAAAGACCCGATTGATTATTTAAGCAAAATAACGTGCAGCCGCCCGACCAGAAAATCTATTTTCACAGTCCCGTATCAAGAAAATTAAATCGGAAATTTTAATCCATTATTATTCTTTCCGCTTTTACAAATATTTTTCTATGTGCCACTTCAACAGATATAGAAAATAATATGCAAAACCAAATCTAGAACACGTTTTTTACTGCTATGAAGAGAGTAAGCAAATTGTCACATCTTTTCTTATTTTTATAGTCGTTTTTAATTGATTTCAATATTAAATAGATTATGGGAACTGTTGTAAATTCAAAAAATGCCACTACCTTGTGGTATTCCGTGTACTAGGTATGTAAACTATCACAAAACAATTAATTAGACGTAGATATAGAGAAGAAAAGTATTTTAATGATGATTCTATATGGCTTTACAAATTTTATGACGTTTAATTAAAAAATTGCTGGGATATTCACTTCTCACAAGATATACGTACCTATGCAATTGCTTCTTGTCTTGTGTAATCAAATGCCTAAATATTTTCTCGTCATAAACTTGTGAGAAGTTTATTGCATTTAACATTTAGAGCATAAAAAACTACGTACCTATAGAGTGGCTCAATTTGTTTGGATTGCAGGGTACAGGTTAAACAGTGATACTTGTATTCCCATTCCTTGAATTTGTTTAAATATATTAGTCGAAATATGTTCATCAAAATTTTACCATAGTTTTTTTGCTTTTATTAATATTTGCAAACATATTGATAATTAGTAGGTATATTTTATTCAATTTTTCCTTTTTCCTATTTAAATTTATTATTATTTTATTTATTACCTATTTATTTTTTCCTATTTAAATACATAAACATTTTAATTTATAGAAAGGATACGTTCAAGACTTTATTTGTGTCAAACGTCTTTTAATTTGACATTATTACTTAATTATTACGAATTGGGTTATTTTTTCGAAACGATAAAAATAGCAAATGGCATAATATCATAAAATAAATTATGCATACGTGACGTTATTTTTGCAAATCGCACTCATGTCCGAGATATTGCTCGCAATTTCTTGGGCAACCTGGTATATTAGCTACTTTCTGTCAATCACGTTTAACCTGTGATACTGACCCATCAAAAATGCCGTTCGATGTTTTTATTACAATAGATATTTTTTAAACAGGCAAAAAACGAAGTATTGAAAGACATACTAATTTATAATAACATGTATCAATTTTTAGTTCATTGTTTAATTATATTTCACAAAATTCCTTATTTATTTTCAAATATGTATCCACGTATAGGTATACCTGCTGTGGTTCTTGTATGAGGTTTAAAAGTGTTTTTATTCCGCTTCTAGGAAAAAGCTGAAAGGCGGTTCAGCTTTGTTCATTCAGGTAAATTTCTATCAAAAGTGGGAACAATGACGCTTAGCTACTACCTCTTGTTTTTGAATGAGGTCCCATTCTTTCCGAAACAGGCCCATTGTTACTGGAAATGCCTTTATTTAGGTCTATTTTAACACCGATTAACTTTATAATGGGAATTACTAAAAATACCTCCTTAACAACAAATAGATATTACAACAAAGCTGTTAGAATGGCGTATGTTAATCTATAAATATTTTATTAATTCCAAGCCTGCAGCGACAAAGGTGAATAGCATAATGTAACGAAGGAGAAGGAAGTAACCGATATTCTAGGAAACGTACCAACCCTGAAACCAGTGTGACCTCAAAACAAATCGACTAACCCACTTTCTACTCTGTTATTTACTCCATTTTTCCTCAGCGCGCATTTTTTTCTTTGCACTTGATTATTCAATCAGACAGTCCGGCAAATTAGGTGGAAATAACAGCGTAAGTATACGAGGGAATGCCGAATAGTCCTTGTGAAAGATAAGACGTGTTGCAGGGTGTATAGAAATCCGGAAATCTGGAAAACTTGAAATCAGCAGAGCGACTTTTCATGGCTTGAGATATTAATTGGTCTTTATATGGAAGGTGCTGCTATTACTGGATGTCATGTAAATTCTCTACTCCTACTAATTTCATGACGTCTATCTGTAATATTAGTTTATGCTATTAGTATTCACATTTTCATTTTTTTTCTTATTAAACTAGTTTTAATTATCACTGCACAGCGTTGATCTTGAAAACTATTATAGTCCAGGCAAGTTAGACCAAAATCAGCCAGAATACGGAATTTTTTTTCTGATGAACCAATCGAGTTTTCGGCATTGTCTTCGGAAAAATATCAGGAAAAAAGTATCTATTACACTTTGGGGCTGGATCGAAACTGCATTGCGGGTGCATAAACTGCATCTTGGAGTGCATCAATGTTTCCGAATTTTCTATAAATGGTAAAAATTGACTAAAAGTTGTAGAAATTGTTGTTGTGTGCACGGATTTTCGGGGTCGGAGATTCCGAATCTGACCCTGAAAAATATGCCCGGGAGGCCTTCTGTAAAACATCGAATAGCGGAGTAATTGCCTTTTAAGTCCCCACTCGGGGGTCTTTGGGGTCGGGGATTTCCATTCTGACACTGAAAAGTATGCCCGACGCCCTGGGGCTATCACAATCAGAGGAATTTCCTAACCTCAAAAAACAGGTCAAAAATAGCAAAAATGCACGAAAAAGTGCTAAGAAAAAAATATATTTTTTTTCTATATTCAAATGTTCATTTATATGGTTAACACCCCGTCAAACGTGAATCCGCGGTCAGAATTGATGGTACTTTTTCTCACCTAAAAAAAACCGGGTTAATTAAGGTCAGAAATCACGAATTTTCAAAAAAAAATAACAGAGTCGCGCCAAATTTTGTTTACGGGGGTTTTCGGGGTCAATTATGCAAAATTCAAGACGGCGTATCCAAGATGGTTGACCAAGTTTTCAAAAAATAACGCTATTCGATGTTTTACAGAAGGCCCCCTCTTGCCCCCTGGGGGACCCCAGGGCCGTCGGGCATATTTTTCAGGGCCAGATTCGGAATCTCCGACCCCGAAAACCCGTGCACACAAATTTCTACAACTAAGTCATTTTTTACCATTTTTAGAAAATTCGATAAAATTGATGCACTCCAAGATGCAGTTTATGCACCCGCAATGCAGTTTCGATCCAGCCCCAAAGTGTAATAGATACACTTTTTTCCTGATATTTTTCCGAAGACAATACCGAAAACTCGATTGGTTCATCAGAAAAAATTTTCTAATTTATTGTCTAACTTGCCTGGTCTATTAGATACAAAAAAGCTTCAACAGTCAAAGTAGTGAATTAAAATACTTTATTATTAACATACCACTAAGAAAACACTTCCTATCCATTTGGATTTTATTAAGAAAAAATTGAAAATCTGCCTTTTTGAAATCTTTTGAATTGCAGTTCAATTGAAAAAAATTCTAGAATATTTCTTACAGTATCCTGTAACTTTTTTGATAAATTGTTTATTTTTAACTAATGTCCATACTTCGAAGATCTTGGTTAAAGAAAGAGTCCCCAGTGAAAGAACACAAAAAATTACATTTAGAACTTTTCTTCGTCAAACTACAAGATGAAAATGTAGCTAAACTTTAAGAGAACATTTTGTTTTTTTTTTTTACTAAAATCCTAACGAAGAGGAATTATTTTTCAGTGAAATATTATCATTAAATTCTGCATTACTTTGTCTATAGCTTAGTATATCTAATACTTTCTGAAATTCCTGTAGTGTTGCCCAAAAATTAACATCAAGTGGGAAACTTTGTCTAAGATTTTAGAAAGAATATGTTTTCAATATTTTTTTTTCTCTGCATACCAAATAAATATAAGTTTCATAAAAACTCCTAAAATAAATTAAATTTGATATATCTGCAGTTGCAGCAGCTCGAATGTCGCAGTTTGCGTGAAATAGTAGAACCGAGAGTAGAACCATTCCAGCACAATGCAGAACTGCTATTTTCACCAAAATTCTCCTTTCCAAGTTCCATAAAAACTCCTAAAATTAATTAAATTCGGTATCTCCGCAACTACAACAGCACTAGTCACGCGGTTAGCATCAAATAGTAGAACTCTTCGAGCACAATGCTGAAACGCTACTATTTTTACAAGAACTCCCAATTTTGAAATTCTTCCGCAACAACAGCAGCTTGAGCGACGTAGTTTGCATAAAGTAATCGAACTATTCGAGCACAATGCAGAACTGCTCTTAATTCACCAGAACTCCCTGCTTTGATATCCTCAAAAACTGCTTAAATTAAATAAATTCCATATCTCTGCAAATGTAATGGCTAGAGCGACGGGGTTTGTACAGATTGTTGAAACCTTTTTTTTTTGGAAATTCTACCTCAACCAAGTAGGTATGTATTTTTATCTTACAATGCAAAAATAAAACTGAAAATTGTAAAGCACTATATATCTATTGAAGTACATTCTAGAACAAAATCATTAAAAATATCGTATATGGGGGGCTGTGTGAAGTTAGCCCCCCCCCTCCCATATTTTTAAAATGAATTTCTCGCTATCCGTCGGGGAACAATTATTTAAATTTTAAAGACCTAGAAATATTCGTCAACAAACAAGCACTGTAAGAATTTTTAATAAACTCCAGCATTGGGTCCCCCACACCACAGGCATCTCTAAAAAAAGTACATGACTTATCTTTATGGTTTTGTGTGACATACATTGTTTGCACCAAATAGCAATATTTTGGAAAAAAATCTAAATATTTGTGTAAAAAAGACAAAAATCTGAAAGCGGTAGGTAGATATTAATTTTT